ATTTTGATAAAGGTTTGCAGATGCGCAGAGAAAAGAAAGCTAAGCGAGAAATAGAAACCTAAAAGCAGGAATTTATACTCCCTTCCCACTCCTCATTTACACAACACAAGAATGTAACACCTCCAGCTCGCTTCCCAGACTTTACCCGATCCCCCCCCCCCCCCCCCCCCCCGTTACTTATGGCAGCCGAAAGATGCAAAGCAATAGTAGAAGATCTTGAAGGCTGACACACAGCTGACAGGGAGTGGGAGTGTGGCTCCATTGGTTGTGGAAGAAACTGTGGAAGAGCAAAGTCCGGCTGAGCAGAGCAGAAGTAGAAGGAATTGGAGGAAGACCCAGCCCCACCTAGCGTATGCAGGGAGGAATGGAGAAGGGAACAACGTGGGTTGCATAGCTTAGGGGGGAGGGGGAGGAAAAGGCCCTGATTCCCTTCATTAGCTGTAGCTGGGAACACAGTGTTTAAAAAGGGAAGCTGGGCGCAGTAAGTTGTTGGGAGCAAATCGTGAATTATCTGGTATCATGGAGGCTTATCTGGGTTCCTGGCGTCTTCCCAACTGTGTGAGTTTCGCCGTGCTTTCAAGTCTGCAATTCCTTCTCCTGCCCTGTCAAGTTAATTATTTCAGCCTGGTTTGTTTGGGTTTTTAGTTACAGTTTGTGTGTACCTTGTTTTGGACTGAATTTTCTACAGTTAAAGACTGTTTTTTTTTCCTCCAGCCGAAGGTAATCTGGACATTGGAGGCAAAATTGGAGATAATAAAGGGACTCTTATTGCTTATTTAACTGTTTTGCCTTTGCATCACGCCCCTTTGGGTCATCAACACAAACTCCGAGAGCACCCTGGACACCTCAATTCAACCTTTATCGTTACAGAAACTTGCTTTCCAATTTCTCTCATCACCTACAACAGAGGTCTCCAAACTTGGCAACTTTAAGACTTGTGGACTTCAACTCCCGCAAGTCTTAAAGTTGCCAAGTTTGAAGAGCCTACATATTATATATCGGCTTTGAGAAAGTTAATGTGAAGATAATAATGAATAATATAAAATAAAATAGGTGGTAAGCTGAAAATGGAAATAATAAAGAATTGAAAATATAAGTGAGGATGAAATGTTTTTGATATTGAATGAATTGAAATATGAAGTGAGAACTTACTTAAAGATCAGTGGAATAGATAATGATTTGATACGAAATTAGATAAGAAAGTTAAAAATGCAATTATGACTACGTATAAATGTTGTAACCTGGAATCGCGTTGCTCACTTGAAGAGATACTAAAAAAATAAACTTTATAAAAAAAAATATTTGGAGAGACTACAAGTAATGTGAGATTGCACCATCTCTGCAGGGGCTGTATTTTAACCAGGCCAAACCCAAAGCCTTGACCCCAGGACCTCCCAGCCTTGAATGTTCCTGGGGGAAGTTTCCATCCAGGTGAGCCACATGGAGAATGTCAGAATCATCACTTTCTCTTTAAGTTGGGCATTCCCCGATGACTGGACAGGGCAGGGAAGGGGGCACCCGGTGTACACTGGCACAAAATCTGCCAGCCTGGGATTAACACGCCCAGCAACTGGTCTGTGCAAGACCGCCCAACCCACGGGAGGAGCAACGAGAGAAAGGGGTGCCTTACATATTTTGCACGCTCTGCCAGGGGCAAGGATCCCGAAAACCATAAGTCACCTTTTGCAAATCCTGGGGAAGCTACCCAACCGACGGTCCTCGCCCGAGCTCTGCCTGCTTTTGAGTTCCCAACGTCAGATAATCAGAGTTGGAAGGGACATTATAGGTCAACTAGTCCGACCCCCCACCAAAGCAGGAGACCCTACACCATTTCCAACAGATGGGAGTCCAGTCTCTTCTTGAAAGCCTCCAGGGATGAAGCTCCCACAACTTCCAAAGGCAACTTCTGTTCCATGAGTGGATGGTTCTCCCTGTCAGAAAGTTTCTCCCTATTTCCAGATTGAATCTCTCCTTGTTCAGCTTCCATCCATTATTCCTTGTCCGGCCTTCGGGAGCCTTGGAAAATAGCTTGACCCCCTCCTCCTCCTCCTCGCTGTGGCAGCCCTTCAAATATTGGAACCCCGTTCTCATGTCTCCCTGGTCCTTGTCTTCACTAGACTAGCCATGTCCAGTTCCTGTAACCGTTCTTCGACGTCTTAACTGTGCGTTTCAACGCGTGTTGAATGTGGACACAGTGCCCACATTCACACAATACACACTAAAGTTGGCAAGTTTGGTTGTCTGCTTTGGTTGGTTGGCTGTCTTGGGGAAAGAGAGTTTTAGAGTTTGGTCCACTCGTAACTCAAAGCATTGTCTTCAAACTTGGCAAGTTTAAGACGGGTGGACTTCAACTCCCAGCACAGCTGTCTGGGGAATTCTGGGAGTTGAAGTCCACCCGTCTTAAAGTGACCACATTTGAAAAAACAGCAGTCAAAGGCGGCGCAAACATTAAAGATTTTTGTGTTCAGTTTGTGTTATGGGAACACAACTCGAGAATTTAGGCTGCAGAAACTTCGACAGTTCAACGGGCTCATCCCAGGCCCGCAAAGACTTTTCCAGACCGCAAAACCAATACCTGACACAGCAGAAAAGCTGCAAACGCTTTCATAGGTAAGCGAGGCCTGCCTGCATCCCTGGGCCCCAGTTTATATCCCTGATTTTAAGCACTGGGGAAACAGTCAGCAAATGTATTTTATTGGGCTGGGACCCTTTTTCGTTCGGAACACGCTGAGCTATTTTTAATATTTGTAAATATCCAGAGCTTTTTTTTCCCCCCTCACCCGCCTTCCTTCAAAAATCATGCTTCTACAGCTGCAAAGCCAGCATTCCAGAAATTTTTTTTTTCTTTTCTTTTCTTTTGTGAATTAATGACGCTGGCCGGCCAACAGAGTTGGCAGACGCCTGCGAACACGGAATAAAAGAGAACAATGGGCTAACTCTGGATGCGACTTTTCCAAAGGCAGATTTAACCCACACTGGTTTTTGCACCCTCTATTCCGAGGCGGTTTTCTAATGTGACTCACACCAAATAAAGTAACAATTGATTTTTGCAATGGGGAAAGAATCCCAGTCAGATTTATACGTTTTTTGTTTTTTTCTTTAGATGTTCAGACTTTCCCAGCTGGGTGGGGTGCAACCGGACATCGCGAGGCCAATGAGAGAGAAAAATTCAAGCATGAAGCCGGGGAGAAGGAGGGAAACCCATCTTCCAGAGCTGGGCAGGAGAGGCGTGCGATGGCGCAAGCGAACTGCCAGAGATGGGCACAGGCTGGTAGGGCAAAGCCAAGCTCCGGCAGGCAGCCACGCCCAGGGTTTGCAGGGATTCAGAGAGAATTCCAGTGTAGTTAAATCACCCAGGGGAGCGGGGACTGGCATTACTCAGAAGCTTTTGCAAGACAGCCTGCTGACCTCCGACCCCCCCCCCCCCCCCCCCCCCCAACCCATGCCAATTCAGAGAAGGCCCAGGAGAAATTTCCCAACCATGAGAAGAACCGTTAATCCGAGGAAGGAGAAGTTGGGGGGGGCTCCATCAGAGAGGATTTGTAAGGGATTGCACAGCCATTTGTCTGACCTACCGCAGAAAGGGTCTCCTGCCCTCCCAGGGGTTGGACTAGAAGACCTCCAAGGTCCCGCCCAGCAGCTGAACACGACGACTCACAATTCCCCACTGGCTGGACCCCATTCACAGAACCACCAATGAACTGAAGCTGAATTTGCCCACCGCTGGGCGGGGAGGGTTGTGAAGTCAGCTGCTTTGCAATGCCGCTAACCAGGTTTTAAGTCAACCTGGCTTGTCAACCTGGCACCATAAGTGGATGGAGACCCCCCTCTCGTCCTCATATCCAGCTCTAGGCCTCTCTAAACCAGTGTGGCAGACTAAAAACCAGCTGCATGATCAGTGAGCCGGGCAGCACATAAATTAAAATACTGTATATAAATAACCTTTTAGGAATGGCGCCTGCTGCTGGAATAGAAGGTTGGGCTACAAGACCTTCAGAGGGCCCTTCCAACCCTGTGGTGCTGTATCCTGCTCTGCCTTGACCTCCTGGGCACTGGGAGGGCACCGAAGTGCCTCTTTCGGGCTGCAAAGGAAAAGGTCTCCACCTTTTTTCCATGGCTGGCTGGGGAATTCTGGGAGTTGGGAGTCCACCCAGCTTAAAGCCACCAAGGGTTGAGCAGCAGTGATTCTAGTCCTCAGGATCGGAGTCAAAAAGACCCTCCTTCCTCCCAGCTGCCCCCTCCCCGCCCACCCTGAAACCTGGAAAGCTAAAAACAGTGGTACTAGTCCTCAAGATCAGACTTCTCTTCCCTCCTTGCTGGCGCCCTCCGCATCCGGAAAGCTAAACCAGTGCTTCTAGTCCTCAAGATCAGACCCTCCTTCCTCCCCACTGCCCACTCCCTGCCCTGGATCTGGAAAGGCTAAAAACCGTGGTACTAGTCCTCAAGAACAGGCTCCAAAGACTCTCCTCCTTCCCCCTTGCAGCTGGAAAGGTAGGAGCAGTGCTTCTAGTCCTCAAGATCAGAGTCAAAAGACCCTCCTTCCTCCCAGCTGCCCCCCACCCCGCCCCGCTTGCACCTGGAAAGCTAAAATCTGTGGCTCTAGTCCTCAAAATCAGCCCTCTCCCCTCTTTGCTGCTCCCCCTCCCCCACCCTGTGCAGCTGGAAAGCCAACAGCAGTGCTTCTAGTCCTCAGGATCAGAGTCAAAAGAGCCACCCCTGTTCTGTTGCCCCCTCCCCATCCACCCTGAAACCTGGAAGGCTAAAAACAGTGGTACTAGTCCTCAAGGTCAGACTTCTCTTCCCTCCTTGCTGGCCTCCTGCCTCCCCCACCCCGCCCCGCCCTCTTCACCTGGAAAAGCTCAAAAGGTGCTTCTCGTCCTCCAGGCCAGATTCAAAAGACTCTCTCCCCGCCCCCGCCCGCCCCCGCAATTAAAACCAGCCGCAGCGCTCCTAGTCCTCAAGACCAGCCGCTCTCTTTCCCCCCCCCACCCCCCCCTCACCTGTTGAGGAAGGCGTTGCCGAAGGCGTTGAGCTTGCGGAAGGGGCGGCGGGGGTCGACCACCAGCGCGTTGCCCGGCACGACGCCCTCGCTCTCGCCGCCCATGACGGCGATGAAGGAGTCGGTGGTGGGCTCGGGCCCGATGCGCATGCCGGGGAAGTCCTGCTCCAGCAGGTGGCGGATGAAGGTGGTCTTGCCCGTGCTGTACTGGCCCACCAGCAGCACCATGGGCTTGCTCTCCCAGTCGGCCGGCTCCAAGGCGGGCGAGTGGAAGTCGTGGAAGCGGTAGTGCTCCTCCAGCGGCAGCAGCTTCCCGGCGTAGAGCTGCTTCAGCCCCTCCGAGACGGTGCGGAACAGCTCGGGCTCCTTGCGCCGCCGCGCGTCGCGGCTCACCCAGCTGAACATAGCCGAGCCCAGCCCTGCCGCGGGGGAGAAGCAGCCGGTCGGTCAGTCCCAAGCGCAGAGACACCCCCGCCCCGAAAGCCGCCCCGCACGTACTCGCCACGCGCCCGCCGGCGCCGTCCTTTATAAAGCCTCCGCCCGGGACACGCCCCGCCGGATGGGATTGGCTCCTACCCGGAGCCCACGCCCTCTCCGCCTTGCCTTGCCACACCCCCCAAGGGATGGCTCTCTCTTATAAAGCTCCGCCCTCGGCGCTAATTGGCTTTCTCCTGGCGGCCGCGCCCCGCCCCTTTTAAGCTGATTGGCTTCTGCGGGGCGGCCCCACCTCTCCGTCTGTCCGCCACAGCACGGGGAATACAAAGTTTTCGTCTGGGTACCCCCCCCCCCTCAGCGCTAATTGGCTCCTGCCAGGAGGCCTAATCCTCCCTGGAGGCCCTCCCTTTATAACGCCACTTCCAGGGGCACGCCCCTCTCAGCGCCCATTGGTTCTTCCCAGACGACATTGCCACCCACCACGCCTCTCCCCTCGCAAAAAGCCTCCGCCCAGGCCACGCCCCCTCAGCTCTGATTGGCTACGCCCATGGGCAGGCAAGTTCCACCCCTCTTAAGCTGGCTGGGGAATTCTGGGAGTTGAAGTCCACATATCTCAAAGTATGCTGGCTGAGGAGTTCTAAGAGTTGGAAGTCGACAAGTTTTAAAGTTGCCAAGGTTTTGGAGACCTTGTAAAATGCATCATGGGAGCCTTTGTAGTTCCTCTGAATAAGGATGCGGAGACATCCCAGGCACTTGGAGGGGCTCCAAAAAGCCAAGATGACAGTCGCAAAGTTCCACCACTTTATGACAACAAATTACACACGTTGGTAAAACAAGAAAGAAACCGAGCATGGATCCTGCTCTCGTGCAGCCACGTCCACCACCCGCCATCTTGACTTTTTGGACCCCCTTGGACTACCCTTCCATTTGGGACTAAGCCTGGGGTTGGATTTTTTTCCCTGCCTTCCAAATAAAACTCTTCTTCTTGCATTTTGCCTGTTGAAGAATTCAGGCCAGCACGCTTTCCTCTTCCCAACAACCCTGCGAGGTGGGCTGGTGCAAGGCATCCATAAGCTTTTGTGGATGAAGGGGACCCAGATCTAGATTCCCCCAAAGCCATGCCATGTTTTGTTTGTCTGTTCTCAACTGTTCCCAAAGGGGCCCTTGAAGAGGCCTGCAATCATGGCTTATGAGATCCAGGCCTATCTGGGCTGCCGTTTTTGACTTTTTTGACCCTCCCGCTCTTGCCCTTTCGATGGGCAGGGGAGCCCCCTGACCTGAGCTGCCTTCGTCCATGTCCAAATTCCGGAGCGCCCCGGACTGAGACCCCTGCATGACAACCTCGGCAGTTGAACCGCTGGCCTGAGATGGAATTCCTCTTTGTGAACCGGCCTGCGGGTTAGCAGCTGAGGTCAGCGGGTTCCAGAATGGCCGGAGCTGCCCTGGTGTAAGATGCTGGCTTGCTGGATACGTCCAAGGCAGGGCAAACCACGTTAGAAGCTA